GATATTTACCTGCAAAAAGTCAAACGACTACACAAATTTGTTAGTAATTGATTAAATGCAATGAAATGCGACGACAAATCTTAGGGCAAAATTTGGGGTATTACAGTTATTATGATAATATTTCTCACCCAACCTCTCTTTGATGTTGGCAAAAAAAATCATGAAGTTTGACTTTGGTTTGACCACAGTTGACCTCAGTTTGACCTTTTAACTGCATTGACTGCTTTTGACTTATCTGATCATCTGACTGAGCAAACTTTTGAGAAAAGTCTTGAAACTTGACATGGGGGTTCTTATACACATATAAGATGTTATGAAGCTCACTTGAAGTCTTGGAAGTCCATTTAGCCTGATTAAAGTCAAAACCCTAGTTTTGGATGCACTGCTTAGGAGGTGCATTGTCTGAGGGAATTGTCAACTCTTCTGACCAATTATGAATTTTGTGAACCTTGTGAACCTTTTTGGAACACAAAGTCTTGTATTGTGGGGGCAAATTTTGGGGTGCAACAAGGACTTCGCGGTCCTAGGCCTACGTATTCTCAACAGATATGAGAAAGTCAGAGTCGACGTAGTTCGGGAAACTACAGATATGGGGGGAATGTGCTCGCCAAGACATCACCGTCTTGTGCCTACGTATTCTCATCTGGTATGAGAAATCAGAGCAGCCGTAGTTCGGCTAACTACGGGTGAAAGGTGAAAAAGGGAGCTCGCCAAGACATCGTCGTCTTGTGCCTACGTATTCTCATCTGACATGAGAAATCAGAGCAAACGTAGTTCGTGCTACTACGGGTAACCGGTGTGTTGATGTTTTTACGGATGATGCTATCGTGCGCATTCTAGCAGTTAGGTGTTTTGCTGCTCGCTCGTTGGAGACTTAGGCATTACCTGTTTGCGGTAGAACGGACGTAACATATCCTTTTTGAAAGATTGATTAGTTTTCGCCACGCGAGGCAAGAAGTCACGTTTGATTGATTGGATTGTTTTTTAGGGGGCGAGACATGTCCTCGGATAGTAACCCCTACGGGCAGTACCCAATTCGTTATCTCAAAGTTTTTGTTATAAAAAAGGTGTGGCGAACGAGGCGTCTTCGTATTGAAAGACGAGCGTTGAAACCAACCTCACTACAGTGGGCATCCCAACACTCGAAGAGGAAAAGGTCTACACCCAATCCTCTCTCTTCAATTCAACATAAAGAGAGCTTCATTCTCTTATTAAATGTCTTTAGTTATGAATGGTAAGTGCTTTGACGACAGAGAACCCTACGGTAAACGTCAGCACTCGGGATAGGAGAAGGCCTACGCCTAACCACTCCACGACCATTCAAGTTTTGTTGTGAAAATGATTTGAAAATGCACTCGGCGCAAGACCGAGGTTTTAGGTGAGGAAGGTTACGGGATGAAGTTGTGAAAGTGAGAGGTCGCGTCTTCGTATTGAAAGACGAGTGTCGAGACCACCCTCACTACAGTGGGCATCCCAACACTCGGAGAGGAAGAAGACTACACTTAATCCCCTCTCTTTAATTCAATACAAAGAATATTTGTTTTAAAGGCGGTTTGAACATGGACTCGGTACGAAACCGAGGTTTTTAGGAGAGAAAAGTTTAGAATCGTCTTCGTATTGAAAGACGAGTGTCGAGATCACCCTCACTACAGTGGGCATCCCAACACTCGAAGAAGAAGAGGTCTACACCCAATCCTCTATTTTTAATTCAATACAAAGAATTTAATTTTAAAAATGGTTGTGAAAATGAACACGGTACGGGACTGAGGTTTAAGGAGAGAAGGGATTAAAAACGTCTTTGTATTGAAAGACGAGTATCGAAACCACCCTCACTACAGTGAGCATCTCTACACTCGGAGAAGAAGAGGTCTACACCCAATCCGCTCTTTTTAATTCAATACAAAGAGAAATTTATTGAAAGGATTTTGAAGACACACTCGGTACGGGACCGAGGTTTTAGGAGGAAAAGCATCGAAAAGAAATGGTCTCAGATCCAACGTTATTTATCAACAGTTTGACTTAATAACGGTTTACGGAGGTCTCGTCATCGACCAAAACAGAGAGAAATGGGACAAAATGTCCAATAACAAATGCGAAATAAAAATTAACTTTAAAATAGAATACACACTATAAAGCCCAATAAATAAAAGTTATAAACTAATATATACAAAAAAAGCTATTATAAAAAAAAAATATACATAGTGTACTAAAAGAAAAAGTTATAAACTAAAAAAAAAAAGATGAAAACTGTTTTATACAAAATAATAATGATAATAATAATAAAATAAAACAATCAAAAACAGCAAAAATGAAAATGGCCCGAGATTCTTCTCCTTCTTACGCGCTCAGACCGTTCCCACTCTCAATCCAAGTTCCTCATCTCTTTCTCCGGATTCGTCCTCCCTCTACACCATGAACACTTATCTTTGTCTCATATCATCTTTTCTTTCTCTATTCAACTCAAACCTCTATTTGATTTCTGAAAAGCTTAGAGATTCGTCTATGGTGTTGATTATTGATGCTGACGAAAAAAAAGACAAAGATGATGTTGGGTTTAGGTTCTGTGTGCGGATGGGTTTTGCTCATGGAGGTGATGAAGGATTCTGGGTAGGTCGAAGGTTGAGTTCGTACGGCGATGATGGGGTTTCACGGTGGTGCGTGGGTCGTGTTTGATTTTGGGTTGTTCGGTAATGAAAGGTTGACGGAGGACCCTTATTGTTGGGTTGAAGATTGAAGATTTAGTGGTGTGATTTGGTTGGCGTTTCGAAATGAGTTGTGGATTTTACGGAAGTGGGGTGTGGTTTGGAGAAGTCAAGTTAAAAAGATGTGTGATGGTTTTTCTTTGGAGTAGATGATTGAAGATGGAAATGGAAGATTTCCTTTGGGATTTGTTGAAGGAGGTAGAAGGTATTTTTTTTGGGTTTAAGAGAGTTGAAGATAGTCTCTCAAGAGGCTGGCGGCTAGGGTTTTGAGGCTGCTTCCTCATTAGGTTCCTTTCTCCCCAAACTTTTTATATCAGTTGTTCTTGATTTGTTGGCTGTCTATGGTAAAAGATGCTCTCTGCTTTTTGCTGTTGCAGGTTTTGTCGTACTGGTTGTAGTGGTACTGGGAGCTGCTGGCAGAATTTGTCTGGTGGGGACCCAAGGTACAAATTTGTTTTTATCATGAGCTGGCAAATTTGTAAATTTTCGACAACCAACTCAATATTTCACTGTGGTAACTGAATTTTTTTGTTTATGCTTTTGAAATTGTCTGCTTTTTTTTACTCAGGACTTTCACTGTGGTAACACAACAATTTTGCTGATATAAACTTGCTGATGTGGTATTTACTCTTCCATGAGATTTATAAATGGTATGACCATGGGCTTTTACTTTTTGATACAGTGTTCCAACAGTGAAGGCTATCTCCTCCCCCTTGTTCTCGGTTTTTGGGGTGAGATACGTGACAGAGGGTCTGGTCCTTTGTTTTTCATTTGGTTGAGTAGAGGTTGGAGGTGTGGAAAGAAAAGATGAAACTGATGGTGGTGTTGGGAAAGAATACGCAGCCAAGGATTGTGCTTCGACCTTTAAAAACATCTGTTTTTGGCGTGCTAGCTGAATTCGCAATTGACGATTCTCATTTTGCAGCTCAAGTATCAGCTGTGCCTGGTGTGTTTCTGTTTTAAGTACCGGTAATAGATCCTCGTTTGCACCAGGGGCCTTTGTTCGAATCTCCTTGGCTCTATCAGCCCAATGAAGGGTGTTTTGTGTTTCACCAATTGAGAGGATACTTGGGCTTATGTTTGCAATCATGACAGTATTGCAAGTTCCTCCTAATGAATCTTTGCGAAGCTGGGTGAGTTTTGAATTTCGGTATGGAATGTGCTTCTTGCCCTCTACAAGAGCATTGATGCAGCTGCTTAGTGCAAGAAGAGAACGGTTAATGTTGACACCCTCAAGAGACCTAAGTGTTCTTTAATCTGTGGCAAGAGCTCTCTCTGACCCTGCAAGATCAATCAATGAGAGTTTTCCCACTCTGTGAATAATATTCATCGCAGCATCTCTAACTCGATATTCAACCACGACCTGCAAAACAGCATGGGAACGTGAAGATGTTTCATTTGCACAAGTTGGTTCCGTAGTTCTATTATGATTTCCCTGCTTGAGACATGACTTGTATGTGAACAAAAGATTATACGGATCTGATGCTATCAGTCAAGACCTCAATTTTGAAGTTGGCGAAACATTTATACGTGCCCAGTTAGTTTGAAACCGCCATGGAAACAAAACTGCCTTACAATAGCTACACCTCTATCTTCAATAGTTTTTGCTCCTCTTTCTCTGACTTTTTGCTCTCAATCAAACTTCACAGTTTTATCACCTTGTCGCTGCTTCAATGGTTCGGCGAGGAAGTATTTTATGCCAACTAGATCGCCCACATTGCTAATAACCTTCAAGGCATGTGTAAGATCTTCCCTTGTATGAGACGCTGATATGCATATGCATGCTCTAGCCAGTAGCAATGGGGTTGCTGAAATGCAACAGTCACAACAATAATATTCTGCTTGAGGCACTCCCTTGAGAAAGCAGGGATTTTGGCTGGGTTGTAAAGCATGATTGGCATCACAGGAGAATCATTATCCCCGAGAACCTCAAATCCCATCTTCTACAGTTCTGACCTGAGAAAAAAAAGAATGCTATTCTTTCGAATTTGTGCAAGTTTCTGGGCACCTCGACATGAATCATCCTCTCCAAGAATAACTTTTATGGATGATATTATTTGTTGAGCTGCTGGGGGTGAAATTGAAGTTGTATAAAGATGCGCGGGGCAAGTGTACTTCAAGTATTTGATGAGCTCCTTAGATCCTTCAATATAACCTCCGCATGATCTAAATGATTTGGTGAATGCTCTCATCCTAATATTAATATCAACAGTATCCACACCCAAGAGCTCACAAACTCCCCTTCCCGACTTGCCCATAGCTCCGATACTGTGTGCTTTATCCAAATATGCATAAGCCTTAAAACTTTTTGCATATAGCTATGATCTCTGGAAGTTTGCAAAGCTTTCCTTTCATGCTGTATATCCCCTCCACAACAACCATTATCTTCTTCCAAGGCCTGTGTGTTCTTGGCTGCCCATCAGCAATTTGTTCTCGTAAAACCTCTTCTAGATGTGCTGGCACGTTGTGTTGAAAAACACGAATAGTTGCTCCTGATCCCCGTGCACCATTAACAATTGAGTTGTGGTTCAGTGAATCACTAATAATCAAACTTCCCTTCCCCATCAAGACCGGAAGAATAGCAGAGTTAGTCACATAGCCCATTCCAAAAACCAACGCAGCTGGCTTTCTAACAAAACTAGCTACACATTCCTCCAATTCATTGTGAAGTGCAGTTGTGCCCCCGTCCACCCGCGTACTGCAAGTGCTTGGAGAATACTTCTTCAATGTATCAATTACTCGAGGAGTGCAGTATTCATCAGCCGCAGCAGAACCAAGATAGTTATATGATCCCAAGTTAAGACATCTACTTACTTTACTGGTTCGTAGCAGGCAGGTATGGTTTCAAATGTAGGTTTTAGTTTTTTTTCTCTTTTTGGGTCATTGTGGTAGCCTTTGTAACAGATATCTTTTTTTGTTTTGCAGCTATTTCAAGTGCTCCTTTGTATACACTGAAAGTCGACTCCGTATTTCCCAAACGTTTTTTCCATATTAGCTTTTGATATAACATTCTCCACAATGTCTGAGTCTGTCTCTTTACAATGACGAATGTATGCGGCACGAGCAGCTAAAACGTCTCCTATTTGCTCCTTAAACCTAGCATTAAATAAATGGATTGTTGGCACACTCTTCAACTAAATTCCGGCTGTTCGGTCTAGAGAATAGTTTGCTATTTCCTTCAACCAAATTTCGGTTTGTATCCATGATAAAGCTTTTGTGTGTGTATTTTTGCAGGTGTCGTCTGTTATGATACTTTTATTTCTTCTGCTACCATTTGTTCCATTTAACAGGTTTTGCAAAATGTTCATGTGAAATTGTTATGCAGCAGGTCTTATGGTTTCCATTTGGTGCAGATTAAACAGGCTTGTAACATGACAAGTTCCTTTATTGCATCTCACCAATCCCTCTTTCATCTTGTGCAGGTCCGGTTGCGACTCAACTCAGGCTCATCCAAACTGTTTATCAGTTTCGCAGCTCATTCCCTTTGGAGAAAGCTGGACCACTAAAGCTGGGAGTTTCAGCAGCCCGTTACGTTCTAAAAACTCTTCATGAGGCTGTTATGAAAATAAAACTCCAGCTATTTTCAGTGTTTATTTTTTGCACTAATACATGGCTGGTTTGAATTATGGTTTATTTTTTCGTGAATTTGTAGCAGCTGATGGATTTATGAGTGTCTCACAGAGCTTGTGTGAATCTTGTCTATAATGCTTGGATAGGTGGGCCACATGAAGGTTATTTGAAGTCACGGTCTGTACATTGGCGGCGGCTTGTAGCTTGTAAAATTTCGATGATGGCATGCTGTTATCCTTCTTCATTCTTCACAACTTGGAAAACATTTCAAAAGCACTTTTCATACCACCACACCTTCTATACATGTCCACTAATGTATTTTGAACAAAAACATTGCATCCGAAACCACTTCTTATAATGCAATCATGCACCTGTTCACCAAAACAATGAGCTAAGACAGAAGAAAAAGCTGTCAATACAGTTGGAAAAGTGTACTGATTTGATTCCACCCCTTGAAAAGAAATTCAGCTTCTGAAATACACTTGCGTTTGATGATTTGAACACAAACTCTTGATGAGGTCTATAATCCTTGACAAATTCTTTGTTTAGACACAAATTTCTTGATCCTCTGTAAAATGCAAAAAATGCTATGCAATGCAATGTTTTATGTAATATGCTGATGCAATGAAATGAAACACAAGCCAAAGAGGTTGGTCAAATTTTGGGGTACAACACTATGCTCGGCTCATGGACATATTCAAGCAATTGCAAATCAATATTCCATTTTTCGAAGCATTGGAACAAATGCCCAAGTATGCGAAATTCATGAAGGACATCCTTACAAAGAAGAAGAGGTATACAGATCAAGAAACTATCATGGTGGATGCTAGTTGTAGTGCAATCATTCAATGTACTCTCCTGAGAAAAGAAAGTGATATGGGATGTGTTACTTTGCCCGTTACAATTGGAAACACTTATACTGGCAATGGGTTGATTGATTTAGGCTATAGTATCAATTTGATACCCTTGTCCATTGTGAAGCGGTTGGGGTACATGGAGTTGAAGTCTACTCAAATGACATTGCAACTTGCCGATAAATCTACCACTCGCCATCATGGTGTAGTAGAAGACGTGTTGGTAAAGGTTGAACTTTTTTTGTTTCCAATCGACTTTGCGGTAATTGATATGGAGGAAGATGAAGACTTTCCCTTGATTCTTGATCGACCTTTTATGAAGATCGCGCGCATGGAAATTGATATGGATGATGGTATAATGAAGGTTAGAGTTCTAGATGAGGAGATTTGTTTCAATCTTTTTTAAGCCATGAAGCTTTCAAAGGATAAGACTGATTATTTTAGAATCGATGCAATAGAAGTGGTGATCAAAGAAGTTAAGGAGTTGTTGCATATTCCCACGCCATTACAACAAGTTTTTACCAATGCTCTTTCAAATGTCAATGACGAAAAAGAAAAAGAGATTGAAAAGTGTTTGCGTGAGCTTGAAGAATTAGAGGAAATTCCTCCTTTGAAAGAAAGGGTGGAAATTTTGAAAAAGGAAAACAATGAGGAAGTCAAACTTGAGTTATAGTTATTACCATCTCATATTAGTTATGTTTTCCTTGATGAAGAGAAAAACAAGTCGGTGATCATAAGCTCGGATCTAACCATGGAGGAAGAAAAAAAATTAATTGGTGTTTTGAAGAAAAATCAAGAGGAAATGGGTTGGACTCTTCCCGACTTGAAAGGTATACGTCAATCCTATTGTATGCACCGAATATTCATGAAGGAAGATTTCAAACTAGTAGCTCAACCACAAAGAAGATTGAATCCTACCATGAAAGAAGTGGTGAGGAAAGAATTTGTCAAAATGTTGGATGCTGGAATTATTTATCCTATTTCCGATAGTCTGTGGGTTAGCCCAGTTCAAGTGGTGCCGAAGAAAGGTGGAATGGCGGTTGTCCATAATGAGAAGAATGAGTTGATTCCAACAAAAACTGTAATGGGGTGGAGGATGTGTATCGACTACCGTAGGCTCAATCAAGCTACAAAAAAAGATCACTTCCATCTTCCTTTCATGGATCAAATGCTCGAGAGGCTTTCCAATCAAGAATATTATTGTATTTTGGATGGATACTCGGGGTATAATAAAATCATTGTCAACCCGGAGGATCATGAAAAAACAGCTTTCACTTGTCCTTTCAGAATCATTGCTTATAGGAGGATGTTGTTTGGATTGTGTAATGCACCGACGACTTTTCAAAGGTGTATGCAAGCTATATTCTCAGACTTGATTGAAAATACTATCGAGGTGTTTATGGATGACTTGGTGCTTAATTGGGAAAAATGCAACTTCATGGTTACGAAAGAAATTGTACTTGGGCACAAAGTTTCTTCGAAGGGACTTGGAGTTGATAGGGCTAAAGTGGAAGTTATTGATAAATTTCCACCACCTCTGAACGTGAAGGGAATTCGAAGCTTTCTAGGTCATACAGGATTCTACCGAAGATTCATCAAAGACTTTGCAAAGATAACGAAGCCATTGAGCAACTTAGTCAACAAAGATAAGTCTTTTCTTTTTTATGAGTTTTGTATGAAAAATTTTGATTCTTTAAAACAAAGCCTAATCACTGCATCCATAATCGTCACACCAAACTGGAAAAATGATTTTGAACTTATGTGCGATGCGAGTGATTATGCGGTTGGCGCAATGTTAGGCCAAAGACAAACCAAAATTTTCCATGCGATACACTATGCGAGCAAAGTTCTTAACGATGCTCAAATAAATTATGCAACAACTGAAAAAGAATTGCTTGCAATAGTGTATGCATTAGAAAATTTTAGGTCTTATTTGATCGGGTCTGAAGTTGTGGTGTACACCGATTATGCGGCGATCAAGTATCTGCTAACCAAGTTGGATTCCAAGAAAAGGCTAATTCGTTGGATTCTTTTATTACAAGAATTTGATCTTGAAATTTGTGATAAAAAAGGATCTGAGAATTTGGTGGCGGATCACTTGTCCCGTCTTGTGAATGATGAAGTCACGAAACATGAGCAGGAGGTGAGGGAAGAGTTCCCTGATGAAAAGTTATATATGGTGAACATTAAACCTTGGTTTGCTGACATGGCTAACCACAAAGCCATCGGATTAATGCCGGAAGGTCTAACTAGTCACCAGAGAAAAAAAATTTGTATGACGCCAAGTACTTTGTGTGGGGTGAGCCTCATTTGTTCAAACTTGGTGTCGACAACATTTTAAGGAGATGTGTATCTCAGGAGGAAGCAAAAGACATCATTTGGCATTGTCACAACTCTCCGTTTGAAGGTTATTTTAACGACACAAGAACGGCCGCGAAAGTCCGCCAATCGGGCTTTTATTGGTCGTCCTTGTTCAAAGATGCGCATGCGCACACAAAAAGTTATGATAAATGTCAGAGGATTGGTGGAATATCGCAACAAAATGAAATGCCTCTGCAAAGCATGTTAGAAGTCAAGGTTTTCGATTGTTGGGGCATTGATTTTGTTGGTCCATTCCCACCGTCTTTTGGAAATGAGTACATTCTTGTTGCGGTTGACTATGTCTCAAAATGGGTTGAAGTCATAACAAGCGCTAAGGAAGACGGGAAAACCGTGATAAAATATTTGAAAAAAAATATTTTTTCTCGATTTGGTACTCCGAGAGTGCTAATAAGTGATGGAGGATCCCACTTTTGTAACACTCAGTTAGCGAAAGCTTTGGAGTTTTATGGTGTGCGGCACAAAGTTGCAACACCATACCATCCGCAAGCTAACGGACAAGCCGAAGTATCAAACTGAGAAATTAAAAAGATTTAGGAAAAAACTGTGTCCACCTCTAGGAAGAATTGGTCAAGCAAGCTTGACGATGCTTTGTGGGCCTATCAGAAGGCTTTCAAGGCTCTGATTGGTCTCACCCCTTTTAAAATGGTCTACGAAAAAAACTGTCACCTACCGATTGAGTTGGAGCATAAAGCCTTTTGGGCATTAAAGTTGCTAAATTTTGGTCAAAACTTCAGTGGCGGCAAAAGAAAAAGCCAGCTTTATGAGTTGGAGGAAATACGCCCACAAGCATATGAATCCAACAAAATTTACAAAGACCGGGTGAAGGGTTATCATGATAAGAAGATTGTGACTAAGAAGTTCGAAGAAGGACACATGGTGTTACTTTATAATTCTAGGTTGAGATTGTTTCCAGGGAAGCTAAAGTCTAAGTGGTCGGGTCCGTTTCGAATTCGCAACATTATGAGCTATGGGGAAATCACTATTGAAGACATGAAGACCAAGGAGAATTGGACAGTATACAACCAAATATTGAAGATTTACTTGGGTTGTGATTTCGAGCGGGACACCACCTCTATGCCCTTTTGTAATCCGTGATCGCATCGGATCGTCGAGCTCCAACGACGTTAAACAAAACGCTTGTTGGGAGGCACCCCAACATTGTAAGTATTTCTCATTTCTTGTAG